GCTTAAACTCTCTGAGGACAGTTTAATTTCGTTAGGAGGAGTCACACGTAAAAGCCTTTGCCCACCTGTTTTAGATTGCATGACCACCGAATTCCTTCAAGCTCCAGGCCCATGTTCCCAATGTTAAGCCAGAGGTTTGTGTACACCTCATCCAAACATTTGAGGCAGAAAAACTTTATATTCACAGTAGTATTTTAACTTAACAGTTATGCCAGGATCCTGGCCAGGCAGTATCTATTGTCCTTGGCTTACCATTGATGACGACTTCATTCTACCACACTCTGGGAAGATTCCACAGGGGCTAAAAAAAGATGAGGTATGTGGTTTCACTGAATTTATATTTTAGTGACAGAAAACAAATAACAGTGTGAAAATTAATTTAAGAAGAGTAATGTCATATGGTGAAGGATGATAGGAAGAAAATGAGATAGTATGATGGAGACTCAGCTTTCAGCTGGTGGGGGGGACTCCACCTTATGGGAGGGGACAAGGGGAGGCTGTTAGCCATGGTGACCACTGGAGAGACTGACCTGATTTGGAAAAGGTTAAAAAGAAAACCATCCTGAACTGTAGAGAAGTAAAATTAGAAACAGAGAGATATCAGGTGCCTAGGGACATCCAGGCAAGCTGGGATGGTCCCTGGGTCAGTCCGGTAGTCTAGAGCCCAGAGTCTACAGCAATTTAAGAAGCCACCTTGGCTGGCTTTGTTCATGGCCGTATGAGGCAGTGGAGGAAAGGATGGGTGTTCGAGCAAGTCTCCAGCTTCCCAGACGAGCAACTGTCAGGATGAATACTGTCACCATTTTCTGAAGTGGAGGAGCCTAAGCAAGCCGGGATTTGGGGTGGTTGCAAAGCACACATTCTGCTTTGCAATTTTGAAAGCTAGAGATTCACACTGGATATCAAAATGGATTTTGTAGGAAGAGGAGGGGAGGAACAAAAGAAAGCTGAGAAAGGGCTGTTAGTAAGGCAAGTTGAGAACTAAGGAGAGTGTTGTCATAGAAACCAGCAGCAGGACATGATCCAAGGAGGAGGGAGTGGCCACCTTAGAAAGCTGATCATCATCATGGCTGTGAAAGAGTTTCCCCTGGACCGCCCGACTTGATGGGTTTATGGAGGGAGGTGAAATCTGATGGAATCAGCTCTGGAGAAGACGGAAGATAAAATAGGGACAGTGGAAGAGGCAACTCTTACTGGAGTCATGCTGTCAAGGTCCTGGCATGTTAACTGTTGAGTTGGGGATATTTAGTATGCTTGTATTAAGAAGAGAATGTGCAGATGCAGAAGAAATGAGAGACGCTGTGTTGGTCAGCTTTTCACTGTTGGGACAAAATGCCTGACATCCACAGCATAAAGGAGAAAAGGTTGATTTTGGCTCATGGTTTTCAGAGGGTGCAGTCCATGGTCTTCTGGCTCCAAGGTGGAAACACTGTGAATGATGCATGATTAAAAAGAGAAGGAAGAGTAGAGACCCAGACATGAAGAAACTGGTAAACTTGCTGGTGTTCAAAGGAGGGAACGCCTCTCATGGCTTTTTTTCCCCTCCATATAACATGATCACAAAGAGATCCAAAGAGAATATTTGCGGACAGGATACATTAAACATGTAAAAGATAGCTGAGAGGAAACTCTGAAGATGAGAAAGACACCCCAGGAAAAGCTATCATGGTTTAAAAAATGCATTTTAGCTGAATTCTTAGAAAAATATATGCTTTGGGAATAAAATTTGCATTTTATAATTCGAGTCTGTGAGATAGTAGACCTTTCAGAAGCACAGATAAATGCAAGAAGTCAGGGCCCATTAATTATCCTGACCTGACTGTGTTTTTAGTTCTGTTCACCTGGTTTTTGTTCTTTTTAGCACACAAATAGATCCAGTGCCTTTCATCCTACATATGCTCCTGACCTCTGCTCTAAAGATTGATAAATGCAATTTTTTTCCTTGCCCAAGCAAATAAGAAAGAGATTACCATCTGTATCCTCACTTCTGACACCTACGTGCTCCTTGGTACCTATTAAATTTGTCCCACATCCCTTTCCTTCATGCTTTTTTTTTGCTGGACATCTGCAATGGCAGCACTAGCTGGTTCTTGGCCATCTGACATTTCCTGTGTACTCCTTTCTTACCTACTTCTCTAGTCCCATTTCTTATTCCCACCCACAAGTACAAGTTGGAGATTAACTGAATTATTGTATCTTTACTAATGCATTAATCTTTCCTCTCCTTGACAGGCACACACTTAAGATACTTACTATTTCTTATTAATTTGTGAATCAATGGATCCATCAATTCAGTAACTACCCAACAGTAGAATTGATATTACTTAGAATTGTCATTCATTCATTTTTTAGCAGCAAGAACTCAAGGCACAGAAGAGAGGCAAGAGGACTTTTGCTTCTCTTTTAAGATCCACCTCAGAATGGGATGTCTCGATAGGGCCTTGACCCTATGCCTGGCTGTAGGCTGAGTCGGTGTCCCTCTTCTCTGCTCTCAGATAACAGTCATACACCTTCATGCAGTTTTGGCACACAGTCTGTTACTGCTGACTACACATATCTGAGAAACTTGGGAACTGAGATCCAGGGGCCCTTTCTTCATCTCTGATTAAGGTTGCAGCTCAGTAAGAAACCCAGAGTCACAATTACAGGAATGAATGAGGGAAAGTTTGAGCCATCTTTTCGCCTCCCTATTTTTAGCGCTTCCAAAATGGCACTGCTTTTAACGACCCATTTATACAAGCTTCCAGATAGCTTGCTATAAAAGCATTGCTATTTGATCACCGGATCAGGGGTCCGATTAGATGGTCTGTTAAAAGTTTCTCTCAATTCCCTCCTGGTAATGTATCCATGGATATGGAGGGTTACCCCAGGTGATGAGGCTGACAAGGAGCTAATGACATCCTAGGCTGTATTACTTGAGAAAAGAATGCTGTCCAGTTCACAGAAGATAATAGGCTCCCTGTACTCAGCACTTCCAAACCCACACCAGAAGACTGTGATTAATTGCAGGTGGCTGATTGAGGCAGGAGAGCCCCTCTCTGATGTTACCAGAGAGGGCAGTGGGCAGTGAACCCTGTCTTACATAAGCATAGGGTGAAGGTGCTGTTAGTGTTCAGTGTAAAAAAGAGACATCAGCACAGAAACAAGTCTTCGTGCATCTGAGATGTTTTTTATAAGCGGAATTAAACTTATTCCACTCAACTTTCAGAAATAGACCTTTTAGGCAGAAATTACCCACAGAGTAGCTTTAGTTAATTATAAGCAAGAATATCTTAAGAGTTGGAATAGGCTGCTTTTTATGTTACTGAGTCCCTGAATGACAGCACTGTGTGAGAAGAAAGTGCCTCTTTGGTAGATAGAAAATCTCATCAGATCAAAGATTTCTCCTGTTCCAAGATGGTGACCTTATTTTCCTCATCTCCAGAAAGGATTCAAGAAGAAGTGAAATTTAATTACACCAGGACAATTTAGGCAAAAAGAAAAAAATTTTTTGAATCACAAAAATATTCATGAGTAGATTGACTAGATGCCTTAGGAGATTTTTAAAATGCAAATTAACTTGAAAAATACTCTGGATAGTCATTTATTAAAGGAATTTAGTGACTTACTCAATGTCAAGAGGAAATAAACAGGAAGATTCTTATTACTCCTGGTTTAATTTGGTCAATATGATGTCTATCCCCCAGAGCAAGGCATTTTTGAGGATGGGAATATTTTAAACAAGAAAAGCAACAATAACAATAAACAAGACAGAAAGGGCAGAGGGGGGATTAGTATTTTAATTAATTTGTCAACTGTTTGCTAACAAAATACACTAAGGAACTTGACTGTAATATCTTGCAGAATCCAAAATTATTGCATTGTTCAAAAAAGATTAGTCTTAGTTTAAAAATCTTGATGTTTATTTTTATCTTAACTCATTACTGACAAACAAACATTTTTCAAACATCAGAAAGTTTTTTCCTCTTAACTAATTTTCATCCGATGCACACTTTATAGACAGAGTTTTATTTTAACTAATCAACAAACATTTTATTTTAGCATGAAGATGTGAATTTCACAGGTCTCTTGTTGTTTTCATTTATGCAATCTTTTCTGCATGCATATACATTCAATCACCATTAGTAAGAGTTATATAATTAAATCGCATACTCATTAGTGTCTAGGACATCTCTCAAGGTTATCCGAAGGTGTGGGGCACCTAATGAGAACTCTGATGCCTCTGATCAAGGATAACCATTATCTCTGTGGTACGGATATCGTAATCTAACACAGAGCAGTAAACTTTGAGTCCCAAACGGCCTTTTTTGTTACTAACGGCAGATGTGAAAGTCACTTTCTGATGGCAAAGTTATGACCTTTAATTTAGCTCACTGATACTTGAAATATTCTAAACTCTTAAGCACTTCAGCATAATTTAAGTTTTCAAGCAGCAAACACCACTGTGATTAATATTATAGATACTGGAAAAATATAGGTCATATTTTAAAATAGCACAATCAAACACGCTAAAAACTACATAAATCGAGGAGTAGACTATTTTTGTCATTTTTTTTTCTCTCGTGATGATGGAGATTGAACCCAAAGCCTTCACACTTGTTATTGTTTTATTTTGGGACAAGGCCTCATTAAGTTACCCAGGTGGGACTCTTCTGCCTCAGCTTCCCTCAGTGCTGGGTTGCTGACAGATGTCACTGAAACCAGTTTTTTTTCTTTTTGAGGGGTCATTTCTTCAAAGAGTAATCTACAATGGGAGAATCAATAATTTGTTAATATGTTCTGAGTGAAGCTTGTATATGCCATCCAGGACAGCCTTGTTATCTTTTCGTGAACATCGGTTCTTAATTATATGTATTAAGAAAGAGGAAAATAATTGTGTAAGATCTGCTGAAAATTCTAACTGATGCTTTCACTTCATTATTTTGTTTGCCAGGTTTAAAATGTAAGATAAAATACTAAAGTGGAATCCTGAGAATCCTCACTAGCTTTGTACCTTTTCACCTAAACAAAGTTCTTGACATCAAAAATGTTTCTGACTCTGTCACTAGCAACACTTCTCCAGGTAATTTTGATTCCAAGGTAATTTTTAAAATCTCTTACTGAAAGGTTTTCTGCAGAACTGACTAGGCAGTGAATGTTCTTCAGTATATAACGTCGTTTCCAATGACGAAACGTGGTAACACATGTAAATGTATTTATGATCATAAAAGGCTGTGTTACTTTTCTCTCATTGCTGAGACAAAACACCTGGCACCCAGAGTTAAAGGGGAAGGGTTTATCTGGCTTACAGTTCATAGAGGTTTCAGTCCATTATCCACTGACTTCAAGGCAGAGTGGATAGCAGTCATTGCACAGGAGAAACAACATGGCGCACACAAAGTAGCAATGATAATGAGAGTCTAACAGAGTTCAACAGCTTCTTTCTGCCCCTTGTATCTTATTCAGACTACTGGGATTGGGGCGGTACCAAACTCATCACTCACATGTAGGGGTTTAGAAATCACCTGCCTTCGCTCCAGCATTGCACGCTCCAGATTCAACTACCTCTGAAAAAGAAAGTCCCACCTCATCCACATGAGGTTTTGCAGGGACATCCACATACAAACCATAACAAAGGCTTTCTCCATAGGTTATTTGTTTTTGTTAGGTATCAGCAACCATGGTCTGCCATGCTGATAGCTTTGGAATGGGAATTTGCTAGTGAAATAGACACGCAGAAGGGTTGTTTTTCACACATCTGTGAAGCAGAGTTCTAGCACTTGCTCTTTCTTTTTCTCTCTCTTGTCTTTGCATTGTGCACCTTGCTCTTTTTCGTTTCTCTCTGTCTCTGTGTCACGCTCATACATCCATTCCCACAGGTTTCAACGAACTTGCCACTTCTGTGTATGTTTACCGTCATTCAGATGAATGCCCATTGGATTTCTTGACCCTCGAGGATCAAAAGAAGCACGAGGAATGAAATGCCAGGTACACCAGGAGATGGAATCTAAGAACGATATCCTAAGTGGATAGCTTGGTAATAATTCTTTAAGCCCACCATATCCTTTCTGAAGTAGAATGAGAAGAGCAAAGCAAGTGGGAAATTCTTTAGTACAACATCCAGGGCAGAAAAAATGGAAAAACGAGAGTGACTGGCTGGGTGTGCAAAATGAAACCATGATTAATTGATCCTATACAGCTATTATTATTTTATTTATAAATAGTTCTTAGTTCATTCAGGCTGCTTAAAAAAATACCATGGACTAAGTAGTTTAACGACAGAAACATTTCTTACACTTAGAGAGGCTGGGAAATCCAAGATGAGTGGTCCTTCATATCTGCTGTGTAACGGGGGGCCTGTTTCCTAGTCCCTTGGTGATGACTGACTCATCTTTGTTGCCTTGTGTGGTCGGAGGAGTGCCAGAGAATGGTCAGGCGTCTCATGTAGACTCTAATCTCATTCATGGTGTCATGGTCAGTTCCCAAAGACCACATTTCTCAATACCACCCCATTGGGGATTAGATTTTCAAAATATGAATTTGGGGCTGGGAAAGCATAGCATTCATTCTACAACATCAAATAATGTGCAAATAAGTAAGAATTAGAATTAGTCATGGAACTCCATTGATAATTATCAAATTTCTCTTTGGGAAGTTCAATTTTACCTTCTTTTTTTTTTTTCTTTTTATTGAGTTTATTGGTACATTCTAGGTATACAATACAGTTACATTCATTACTGGGATCTTGTACCTGCACATGACAGGTCTTGGTTCTCATTTTCCCCTTGTCCCTTCCCTCCCTTCACCCCCTCCTACCCTCCCCATTTGCAAACACTTTATTTCCATTTTTCTTTTTCTCATATTTTTTCCCTTATTCCCTTTCTCCTACTCTTTCCACTTTCCCTACACCTTTAGCCCTTTTCTTCCTATTTCACATTATTAATATCTTCTATATAAGGATGCATACCTATGGTGTAAGTAAATGCTAGATTATGATATTTGGACTCATTTTTTCTTTTCCTGTTCACTATGTAGAAGGGGGTACACTATGTAAAAAATAGTTCAAAGATAAAAAGATAGAGAAATAAGATATCCAAATGAATGAAAACTACATCATTACCATCTGCAATGAATTTGATGTATAAACAAATAGGATTCAGTACGAATCTCAAATGTATATGTACATAAAAATCTCATAGTTGTAGTGCCTGTTGACAGTTATCAAATTAAAAAAACCTTGAAGATGCAGCACTTTTTGATAAAGTTACCTTGCTGAAGAAGTAAAGTAGCTGCTGAGTTTGTATCAAAACTCTATTAAGGGCTGGTGATTTAGCTCAGTGCTTCCGCCACCTGCCTCACAAGCACAAGGCCCCAAATTTGCTCCCTGGTACAAAAAAAAAAAAAAAAAAAAAAAAAAACAACCCCCCAAAAAACCCCCCAAAAAACCCAAAACAAAACTCCATTAAAAACCTTTCCTTTTTAGTCTACAGGTCTCACACAAAAATACACAAAACACAATTATATGGCTCTATACAGAAGTTAAGCAGTGTGCTCACCATCTGCAAAAGAAACTCAGGTAAGACCGGAGCTGTCATAGGACAGTTCTGCCTGCAACATGTCAATTGTCCCTTCTTTTAAATGACACCATGATTGCATTTTAACAAAAGTTTTACTTTTGGGTGGTTTTGGGTTCACATAAAATGAAGAGGAAGGTACATACACACAGCCCTTATGGCCCAGCCCTAGTGTGCACAGACTCATGGGATTGCAGCAGAGGGGGCCATTTGTGACAGCTGATGAACCTACAACATCACCCAGACTTCACAGCTCATGTTAGGGGGCTGTTCTGGTGCTGGGCACTCCATGGATCTGTACTCATGCATAATAACACGTATCCACCACTGCAATATCATGCAGAGGGGTGTCATGTCCAAAACATCCTCTGCCTATTTATCCATTCCATCATCACTTCTTTAATCAAAGAAGAATCAGATTTACTGAAGGAGCTGATCCAGGTAAGTTTGTAGCTGAGGAAAGGCAGCAATAGTTGGAAACTTTTCTGGTTGGTGACTTTTATAGCTGATAACACTTGCTGTACATTCGCTTGGTCATTTACACTCTCTTTCATATTTCTGAGCATTTAGCATTTTACTCTTGAAAGTTACAGAAATCATAAACAGGTTTTTTTGGAAAGCAAATCTATTAGGATCAGCATTTTCCTGAAAAAGTCATAAAGAAATGACTCGTCCGCAATTTCAGAAGTTAATGTGTTTGGGGGTGGGTGCTTTAAAAACATTAATTTGTAGACCAGGTGCAGAAGGATATCTTCTGGGAAGTAAGAAGGTTAGGTCAAAGTTTCATCCTTTAGGAATGAGGATAACCCGGGGTGAACCAAACCATGTGATGCAAGCTGTTAAGAGAAATCATTTTAAAGTGATAGAACTAATGCAAAAAATCTGCTTTTTCAGGAGTCCTTTGTTTTCTGTTAAACTTAGTGAAGTCAGAAAATTGTCCCACTGATGAAAGACATGAATAGAGTGGCCTAGTGAGCACCTTTATGACCATTTCCTAGTTCTCCACAGTTCTTTTCCCTGTGTAGTAACAATAGCCTTGAAAGATTCCATGCCATTCTTGAAAATATTTTCCCTCAGAAACCACCGCTAGAACTAAGTTTTCCATTTAATAGTATGATAATCAACTGAAAAGTGAAAATGATATTTAATTGACTTTTTCTCATATCTTCTTTTCTACTCCTGCTTACAGACTTAAAATGCAATCATAGAACTGGGCAACCCTTTAGGAAATTAGTCAACGTTGAACATTCAGTTTCTTTACGTTGCTCGTGTGTTTACCCAACTTTACAAAAACTTTTCAGCTGTATTAATGCAATATAATAAGGAAAAACATATAGAAATGTTATTCTGCATAAGAGTAAAACCAGTGCAAGAGAGTAAAATGAACTTACAAGGAAAGCTAGCCAACAAAAATGCATGAGACAGAACTTGTTTGTCTAATGCAGTTGTGCTAAAAACTGACTTTTTAAAAAAATAAAAATGAAATAAACAAATATGCTCAGCTACATGATTTTCCTGTCCGTAAACCATTTGACTAATGTCAGACATTACCCGCTGCTGTCCAGCCAGCGTCCCATGGTGACCAGCTTCTACAGCATCTGCCTTGGACCCGATGTTTCAAATGCATCTTTCAGTCTTCTTAATAATTTTTAAAGAGGATGCTGCAATTTTCTTTATGATGATGGGGAAATGGAGCTACAGAGTGCTTTTATGACTTACACGGAATCTCAAAAGCAATATGCCGTGAGCTAGAGATTCAAATCAAGTCTCTCAGAGGTCAAAGAGGACACTTTCCTTTTGCACCGTTCTGCTTCTCAGCCCCAACTCTTGTATCTTCAGTTGTGTGAAGATTGTGATTATCTTTCTAAACTGACTTACTCAGTTCTGAGTAAATATTTTCTGGGAGACTCAGCTGTTTGGAGATCAGTTCATGTATCTGATGGTGGGCAACTGTATACTTTTTCCAATTATCTATCTGATATCAAGAAAAAGTATTATCTATCTGATATCAATCAAAGTATTGTCAGTAGGGTTTGAAATATACTAAACACTAGCCTAGCTGCCCTGGTGTGAACAGATATTCTTCATTTTCCTCTTAAAAAGGCTGAAAATCTGGCTAAATTCCAAATATTTCCAATGTAATAATAAAATATTAAAATAATACTTAAATGCAAATATAGAAGTGCTATCAAGAAGCATGTAAAGTAAATGGATATATGAATAATACAGATTATCCCTGCTAGAGAATTTCAGAGTAGGGATACATCACTTTTATCTAGCTGATTAGGAAAGGCTTTTAAAAAGATAGCAAGACCCAATAAAGGATTGGATTTGTTTTGTTTCTTATTTTTATTTATATAAATTCAACAGAAAACTGCATGATGAATCCTAGATCTCAAAAAATTATGTTCAGAATATTGGACTCCCCCCACCATGACCTTTTCAGAGAATTCCAATAAATGAAACTAGGGTGCATTGATTTTTTTTGTGTGTCTTGGAATTTGCAAGTGATTGTTCTGAGGTCTATAGACACAGAGTGGAAAAAAAACATAATATTAGCAGTTAGAAGAAATGAACAACTCCAAAAGACACCCCTTGGGAAGTAGAGAAATGGAATTTTCCTCCCCAAATAGCTGAGGAAATTGAAAAAGAGAAACAGCTTTAGTTGCCCACTCATTCCTATTAAGACTGAAGAAACCAGTTCTGAAGTCTGGCTCTTGATTCAGGATCTTGAACTTCAAAGGGACCGGACCACTTCACAGGCGTGCTGTCCTTATAAAATCCATTCTTCTTAGTATCTTGTTATCCTTTGGCACTACATATCCATTATTTCTTTTATAATAAGCATAGCACATTTTGATCTATTTTGCTTAATATAAAATGGACCACCATTCCATGGGTTAATTCCCATGCTGTTAACACTTCATAAATTAACGTGTGTTTAGAATGAGATCAGTTTGCCTGATTAGTTCTCACCTCTTTTCTAGTCCATGCTTGAACACCTTCATCAGACAGGCGTCTGAAAATTTACCTGTTTGCATTCTTAAGCTGTTACTTTAAGCTGGTAGCAGACCGAGACCATCATGGACTTAAATTAATTAAAAACAAATTCAGACACTTAAATAGTCTTTCAGAAGTTTCCTTTCCACAGGCTATTATATGTGACTTGTTTGACTATACTTTCTAATTTTTGAAGAATTTTCCAGAAAAAAAAAATGGAGACAGCTAGACAGCCAGTGAACTGGTCAGATGGGCTAACTGAGCTGGGTCAGATGGGAGAGAATGGTCAGGAATGGTTGATTCATTTTGAAGAGGAGTCTGAATAGAAGCTCTGCTCTTCCTCTGAATGTTTTCAGGAACAATGGAAATGCTGAAAAACCAAGCAGCTAACATATCAACGCAAGTATCAAAGCA